TTTTTTTTTTTTTTTTTTTTTTTTTTGGAAGAGCGGGAAATCAGAGAGAGTCATGAATGAATTGCAGATTGCAGGTCTAAAACCCAGGAGAGCAAATTCTCAAATTTATATCAACTTTTTTTCTCACTGGGGTATTTTTTCCTTCTCTCTCAATTTTTTTTTTTAAAGGCAACGTAGTTTTGCTTTAAGGCAAGCACCAAACAGCTTGGATAGTTTTTGCTTTGAACCAAAAAAATAATAAAAATAAAAATAAATGTTAAAAAAAATTAAAACGATAAAAAAGTCCAAAAAAAGGGGAGGCTTAGAAAAGGCCCCAAAGATGCTCAGTGCCACCTCGGGGGAAGGGCATGAAAGTGTCACCTGGCCCCTTCCAGAGAAGCCCTCCTGCTGCCTCCTCATATATTTGCATATAATCCTTTTTTTTTCTTATTAACCTTAATTAAGCTGAGAGCCGGTCCTGGAGGGGGGCACGCCTCCCTCGACGATACCAGGAAGGGGTGTCTCATAGAGCCACAGCCAGGCCTCCTCCACTGCCTGCTTCTCGTGGAGCAGGGGCCCCCAGGGGCCTGCTGGGAATCCTTTCTTCTTTTCCTTTTCTTTTCCTTCGTTGCTTTCTCCAGCACTCTGGGCTGAGAGCGCGAGCGGGGTGCCATACTGATCTCGGTGTGACTCGCTGGACTGTTGTGGTTCCCTTGTTTGCAAGCGGGAGGGGGCAGACGAGGCGAGTTGGGGGCCCCCACCCTTGGAGTGGTCAGGAACTGCGGGGCAGAGCTGAGCCCCTGGGTGCCTGCCGGAGGCCACTTCCCAGTGGGCGGTGCCTTAGCCTGCATGCCAGGACGGTTGGGGGGCTGCAGGCGGGAAGGTTGCCATTCTGTCGAGGACAGAAGTGGCCCTCCTTTCATGTCCATTCTCAAGGCTTCGGGGAGACAGTTCTTCCCTTCTAGCTCCCCACCCCAACCTGCTCCCCAACCTCCCCCCATTCCAGCCCAGAGAGACTGCTCCAGTCTCTTGGGGAAGTTTGGTGGGAGAGATCACATCGCACCGCAGAGATCTCACAGAGAATGTCATGGTTAGTCAGGAGGTGTCTTTGGACACACGTGTCTAAGGGTCGAGCGGCCAGGCCACCAGCTCCAAGGTCGATAGGAGGGTGACTGGACTGAAAGGTTTCCCAACCCACCTTGGCTTTCAGTTCAGCCACTCTTCCAGAAACTGCCTTCAACCAGCATAGAGACCCAAAATAACCAACCCTGCGGGTTCCTTGGAGAAAGAGCCTTTCAGGGACTCCTGCTAACCCCCAAATAGGTGGCCGACACATTTTTAAAAGCCTCCATAATGGGAATGGTGGAGAGTAATATAAATTGATCAATCGCATACTTATTAAAACCAAATTTTATCTAATCAAATGTCTCAGCAACATTTGGCCATTAACTGGGCACCAATTCTAAACCTAATTAAAATAACAACCAAAACCATCTCTTTGCTGAGGCAGCGACCGTGTTATCAAAATTTGGAACATTTGAGCTTCAATTGGACATAACTGGGTTGTGAATAGGCTTCTAAAACCCTAAGAAAACACATTTAAAAAAAAACTTTACCGAGGTAGCAACAACCTCGGTGAAATTAGGATTGGGATACCAACTGGCTTCCAAAAGCCAAGACAATTTTTAACAAAAGCAGTTCAGAAGCTCTGACCTTGGGCTACTCTTCCATCTAAGCAGAGCCCAGGGCAGACGCTCTACCGATTCCTGGCATCATCTGGCATCCTTGAGGCTGCCCCATCTCCCACCGGGGCAGTTGCTCACTAAGGGGTTAGCCACCCTCGGCCAACATCAGCTACACCCTGCTGACCAGAGAAGCCTTTTTGTCAGTGTGTCACCCCACCCAGGGCCGTGCCAAGGCCACGGCGCTCTCCACTGTCCTGACATCCCTGGATCCCATTGACAGAACCATCCTGTCTGATCCCTTCATCTCCATCCTGGTCTTTGATGGGTTTCCCCAGATGTTTCTGGATGACCCAACGGGAGAAGTCCTTTCCTCTCCTGGCTTTGTCATCACTCAAAGACCGTTAAACCTGGGGGTTCAATACTTGTTATTGGCTTCTGTTTTGTACAACAGGGGGTGGGGGGAGATACTGTATCCGGGCTGATGGATTCATTTATGTGTGCTCAGCTTAATTAATATGCAAAACTCTCTCTTCTCAAGTTTTGCAAATATTATAACTTGCATTATCAATAAAGCAACCAGTTATTCTCGCCTTCTGTCTCTGGCTCCCCTTTTTCCTTCTGGGATCCTTACAGGGAGGGGGTGAAGGGGGAAATGAGGAGGTTGATGGGGAGGGGGAGGAGAAGAGCGCTCTTCAGATGTGCCAGTGGTCTTGCACCTTCTCTGAGGACAGGACGACCTCCCCTCCCTGATCCCCTTGCTTAAAGCAGGAATCCAATCTCCTCAGTGGGGAGGGGGCACCCCACTGTGCTCTTGCTGAAAGACAGATTCATTCTTACCAAGTGTTCTCAACCTTTTGGCTGGAAGTTTGTGGGGGTGGGGAGAAGAATGCCTGAAATAAGGGGGCCATTACTGGTGCTTAGCAATCCCTTGGTTCTTTATGGGCAGCTTAATTCAACCAGCTTCTTAAAATCACC